CACGGCTGACTGAGTTCTCGTCCAAATTCGTTCCGGCCATGTTTTCATTGCGCCTATCTGAGCTCTTGGGCTGAGGAAGTCCTGCCCAGTTGTGGACTAAGTGCTTGCCCTCTGGCGTCATGGAGAGGAGACGGCGCGAGGAGGGGCCCCAGGCTGCGTGGGGCCGCGCTCGACAGAGATGCGGCCAAATGGCTCGGGTCGTTGACCCGAATTTTTCGTCCTTCCTGCTGCTCGTCTGTCTGTCTGTGTGTGTCGGAATTCTGTGCGTGCACGCCTCCACTTTGTACCGGCGCTGCTGGAAACGCCAAAGGGAGATGGGAGAGAGGGAGCACATTGTTGTCTGCGCGAAACAATGCTTCTTTTCCTGGTTCTTTACGGCCGGCCGCCCTCTCCCTCGCCAGCTTCTTTGTGCCCTATGATGCGGGCGGGAAGAAGACAACAGCATGAATTGAGGTCGTCCACATTATCGGTTCCTTTATTAATATTTTGGCCACCGCAGCAGGAACCTCGTCGGTTCAGGGGTCTGTTTTGACAGTAGACTTTGGTAGAAGTTCCGAGTGTTATTTTTCGGGCGAGAATGAAATTTCCGAATTTATGGCTTCTGTCAAGGTCCAGAGAAAAAAGAGAAAGGTGTGGGCTTGCTTTGGGGGGTTCGGTGGCCGATTGTCTTGAAGGCTGACCAGCAGCCAGAAAGGAGGACACTCCCTTAATTCCTCCTTTCCGTCTGAGAAAGAGGGAGACCCTCTTTCCTTCTTGCGCGGAGTAGCTTAAAGACCCGTTCCCGTGGGGAGAGGACGGGGAAGAGGGCGAGGGAATGGAGAGAAGGAAACTGGCAATCGGGTTTCTGCCCGGCAGAAGACGATCGTTCAGGTCGGCCTTTAACGTACAGCAGCTCGGAGCTTATAGAGTGAAAGCTCGCGCTGCAGCACCAAGGGGGTTCAATCTCCGCCCGTCTGGATGAGCATCGTACCGGTGTGCTGCACCTTAAAGACGTCAGGCTCTTGCTCCACTGGCAAAATTTGTCATCTACAGCGGCTACAATGTCGGCATACTCTGGCAGACTAAACAACAAGCGACTAATTTGTTTACGGGCGAATCGCAGCGCGGCCTGAGGTTCTCGAAACCAACTTAATAGGGTGAAGATGTGGAAATATTAAAGAGAGCTAAGGCAGCAGTCATGTATAAAAACGTGCGTACGTTCGATGGCAATGTACCGAGAATGCACCGCTCGCGTGCCGCGTCGGCGCACAAGAAATGATTTATCGATCCAGCGGGAGGAACACTGCACCGTTTGCACGTCGTCTTTTCACGAATGCGTGCAGTAGCTCTTCTGGGGGAGGAGCGGACGTTCCGACGCTCCGCAGCCTGGTCCGATGGAAGGACACAGAAGTCACGCCACGGCCATCGTCGGCTTCTCGAGGCATGCGCGCCATTCCCAAATGGAGAGCGAAGCAGATCGGGCCCCGCCTAATCACCCGTGTCTCCGACGGCGTCTGTTGGCGCTCGAAGGCGACGAGAACTGTGCACGCGACCTTGACTTGCCAGTCGATTTTGCCTTTCGGAACGGCTGTCGATCTGCACGAGTGGCGTCTCAGCAGACGCAGACGGGTGCCAGAAGCGTCAGTTATGGAAGTGCCGCGCTATTTGCGCCAAATGCGCCGGGAACGAAAGTCAGCTGCATCTTGCGCCGAAGTGTCATTTTTGCTAAGAATTGCACCACACCTTCGCCGAAATCAGCAAAGATAAAAACATATTGGTTGGCTCTAATACTTAGAGAACTAGGAGGGAAGGAAAATAATACAAATATGTATTTCAGAGCGTCTCTACTCGCCGTATAGTTTGTTTTATCTTGGGTCAGAGTACATTCGAAGGCTCGAACACATACAACCATTCGCCGCGCTTGATTCGTTTAGTCGATCAAAGACCCAGGAAGACGGACGAATGCCATGACGGCGCGCTCTGGCGCTGGTTGGTTCCATTTGCTCGTAGCAGCGGCTGCATTTTAAAATAATCTGAAACCAATTGTTGAGATTGCTCGTCAACCGCGCTGGTTGGTTGATTGCCTACATGGTCTAAATTTCTAGGCTATGTCGGTAATGTGAGGAGCTAAAAGTTGCGAGAAAACATAGCCAAATTGTAGGATGGTGGCTCCTGTGATAAGACAGAACCAGGTTCAAACACTCCTCATGAGATCACTTAATTATCATGTCTGTCGCATGCCTCCGCGCTGCGCCTCTCACCAGCGTGCACGTGTCGAGCTTCACCGCTTTGCACCGAAGTGCTAGGTGCATGCAGCGGCTGAGATGGGTGAGGGCTTGTGTTAGCGCGACGGGCGCATTAATTACGCTTAGTACTATTCCTGATCTACTTTTTTTTTGTCTTAATTTTAAAAGTTTCCGCCGAGGGGAAAAACGAAAAATCCGGCTCTATATTTCCAGGTTGTTCCCGCGCAGGTGTCGATCCAAAGAACAGCGAACTTTGATTTCACTCTGCTTCCTACGCCACTAAGGAGCAGTGCCATTTGCACAAGTGTAGGTTTTCATAATATTTGGGGGCGGTTGTTCTGGCAGTTGATAATATTAGTCCTTGAATTTGGTAGGTTCATAAAACTTGGGGGACGCATTTTTTATAATGAAAATATACGCAAAAAAAAAAAAAAAAAAAAAAAAAACCGAGGACAAGAAGATAAGTAGCACACAGGACAGGGCGTAACTTTCCACTGAAATTTTTTTTTTTTTTTTGCGGACACGAGATTCTGCAAGGCAAAAGATCCCCCTCACCCTGGGGGAGGAGGAAACAGGCAATGGTGGACAGGGGAGAAGGGAAGAGAGGAGGAAGCGGGGGAAAAGTGGAAAGCGTGAACTGGCCGGCAACACACTTTTGTTGGTAGACGGGCTGGTTTTTGCAGGCATTTTACGGAACTTAATTATACACGCTAAATAAACCACGTACTGTAAAAGTGCGAGAGGGGAGAAGCTATATCGCAACTGAAGTATTACGCAATGATTCATTTTTGACCAATTTTTTTGTACTCATTGTAAATGGAACCTTCTCTGACTAGAGCCCTCTTTCTAAAAAGAATGCTCTATGTTCCTTTGGCGCCCTGTCTATTCTTATTACGAAGGGTAATGAGTAATATGCTCCAGTATCAAAGAGGGAACCTCAGACAAACTCATTTAGCGATGCAATTACTTTTTTTTTTTTTTTTTTTACTTTCCGCTGACTTTAGTGACGCCACTGCAAGAGGTTCTCCGGAGATTCCCCCTCCCTGCCAGCCGCGAGTACAATGTTGCGAAGCGTCGGTGCCAAGTGGTGAAACTCGACGCGGGAGCGCGAAGCAAGCTTGACGCGAGCTGCTACATTTCAAATTGGGCCCTGCCATGTGCCGCGTCTACTTTTCCACTCTGAGACCCGACCAGCGCCCGTCTCCCACTTTGTCCCGATTATTTGGGTTGGCGCCTGCTCGCACATGGCAGTCCCTAGCCCACTGCCGACTTCTGGATATCAAGCCAAGTTGTATCCGGAAGGCTATAATTAAGCGTGCACCGCACCCTCCCACCTAAAATCTCGATTTGAAATGCCTCTGGGGCAGAGTATGGCAACGCTACGACTCTTAGGAAACTAATTGGAAGGAATATACTGTACATGCCGTGTCTTGAGTGGACACCTAGCTCTCAATCTTTCTGCTTGGCACAAACAATGGGGCTCTGATAGGGACCTGTCAAGATGATTGAGCTAGCATTATCTTGTTATCTTTGATCCACACTTAGTCCTGCGGAAAAGTACAAGCATCCCAGCATCGATTGAAAATGTCGCTGCTCCTTCTTCACATTGTGACGAATCTCTTTTGACCTTTGTTCTGCTGTTCTTTCTTGTCGTCTGTCTTCTTGTGTCGTAAAAGTATCACCTCGGAAGAGCTTAATTTTGTTTTCATTATTTTCTAAATTGTGTAGGGATGTATTACTGAATTCAGGTTATACTGTTTGCTGCAAAGGTATGATGCAGAAAAAAATATTGGTCAGGGTGGAGCATCAGTGGATTTCGTAAGTGATTGTCTCAGTAGAAACTTTTCACCTTTCTGGATCTCTGCCTAAAGATAACCTAAAACCCCTTTCCTTACATACCTGCAAGGAGGCAGAAAAGCTTTTTGAGGGTTTCAGGAATGCTTTACAGTAGTGCATGAGGCCATGTGCATTAACATTGACATTGCAAAAGGGGGAAAGGGACAAAAAAAGTATTCATTTTGTAATTCTGTAGCCTAAAAAGCATGGAGAGAAATCAATACATATTTTGTTTTTAAATTTGCAGCACCTATTGTTTATGCACCTTTCTAGCTTTGCTTGGAAAGGGGAAACAAAACTAGCTTCAATATGCCACATGGAGTCCAAATTATGAAAAGTCATCCTATTGTCAAAAGAATGCAAAGAATGCTTTCTTCTCGAACTGAATGCCAAAAAACAAGCTCACGAGGAAGGAAGAGACAGCACGTGTTGTCTTTTCCTTTCTTTTGTCCTTGTTTTTTTGGCGTTCAGTTGGAGATGAAAAACCAACCAACCCAACTTACTATTTTGCAGGAATGCTTTTCATGTAATTTATCCCTATATGTAATGTCCTTGAATGAGCTTTTTGGAGTATTGCAAATAAATAAAAATAAATAAAATAGTAATGATTTAACAAATGCCAACATGGAAAAAGCCATACCACTTTTATATAAAATGTGTATCTGTGCAAACAAGGGACAACACAGTTAAAAGTTATCTCGGCATGAAATGGGTGTGAAGGGTGACCGTTATTTCGAGTCTTCAAATGATGTCATGCCAATTCCGCCAGGGTCCTGTACAGTTACATTTGGGAACTTTAGTATGCACAGGATATGATTTGGGCTGGAATACATTTAGTTTCAGTTGCCCTTGAGGCTGAACCATTTTGAAAGTGATTATTTGGTGCATGGCAAACTCTGTTGGTCACAAGTGAGTGAAGGAGTATGCCTTTCTTTTCAGGTCTGAGATGACGCAAGGGTGAGAGAGAACGGCAGGATGTCTCAGCGTGCAGATGCCCTGGAGTTTGAGAAGGGCCGCATCAAGGCCCTTCAGGAGGAGCGGTTACACATCCAGAAGAAGACCTTCACCAAATGGATGAACTCCTTCCTTCAAAAGGTGGGTCCTACAAAGCCTCTCAATGCCGAGGAGTTTCTGAGTCCCGGAATTGCTTGTCTGTCCAGAGGTCTGATGCGTCTCACGACCATGTGGTACTCCTGGGGAGAGAGTACCCTATACTTGGTTTCACCCTTAAAGCAAAGTGGGTTGCTAGAAAGCATACAGGTGCCATTGCGTAAACTAAAAGTGCAAGTTCAGGGCGCATTTCTTGCGCTATTAGCCAGTGGCGGCACACACGCAAAAAGATGAAATTTTGGCGGTGCTTGATTGGCCCATCAGCTTGTAGTGTCGGCTGCGCTCCAAATTATGCTGAAGCAGAATATAAAAAGAGTTCTATGGACTCTTGTGTTTCCCTAAAATCTGGAACAGAAGATGAATGCAATTTTCTTACAATTTACAAAATCATAAAGTGACACAACTGTGCATAGTCTTTAATTGTAGGAATACATATTTTATTTTTTTTAAATCCGGTCCAAGCTTCTTTTTGAGTCTTAGCCTGCCAGGATCTCCAAAAACCGTAAAGCACCCTCATGCCATACATTAATAATTGGAGAACATTGTTTGGGAACAATGTTCTTAGTTTCTCAGAGGTATAAAAGAGTGTTCTCAAAGGGCCAATAATTTGATGTACTACCTAAGAATACGAAGCAGGAACCCGCAAAAAATTTGGAGATAATCATGTAAAACTGGGAGATGGGTGGAGTGCCCATCTCTCAGTTTTACATGATTATCTTAGGTCAGCAATATGTAATATACATTGTTTTTGTTTTTTTAAACTTTACAGATTTGTTTTAAAAAAAGCCGTGAAAGCTTGGTTTGTGCGGGTGAACTATACGGCGAGGGGGACAAAGTGTATGGGGCTGATCATAATGATCAGTCGGTTAATCAAGTACAATATGTTAATCAACTTTTTAATTAGTGAAAACAGACTTATGGTTCTAATTAGAAACTTGCTGAGTGTCATCCAAAACCACTAAATCAGTCACTTTTAGAAAGACTTTGAGCGCGTGAGAAGTGTAGTAGTGTGCTGAAGTTACCCCTCGTGCAGCAGGTACAAGGCTGGGGCTATGATAAGGGACGGAAAAATCACGCGGGCGTCTTATCGCACCGGTAGCCTTGCTGCTGCTGTACGAGTGGTAATTTTAGCGCACTACTGCGCTTCTCACGCGCTCAAAGCATTTCTTAAAATTATTGATTTAGTGGTTTTCGATGACGCTCAGCAAGTTTCTAATTAGAATCAAATGTATATTTTAATTAACTGAAAACTTCATTAACAAATTTTACTTAATTAGCCGACGGATCGTTACGATTAGCCCCCTCTACTATGTCCCCCTGGCCCTATAACTCACCGGCACAAACTGCATATCTGTAGCTTTCTCGGCTTTTTTTTAAACAAATATGTAAGCTTAAAATTATGTCTTTCGTGTATTTTCCGAATGTTACAAAACAAAATTGAGGGGTGGGTTCTCATTGTGGAATGAGTGGATGCTCAATATTTTATGGTATATGTTAATTTGATAAATATTACCTATGTTTGTAGCTATCCACTCTCACTAGCCTCTCCAAACGTTGCCACTATAAAGGCCCGTTCACACTCTTGCGACCGACTTCGACCGAGAGAGACCAGACCGGTTTTGAAGCCTCTTGCGATCTCTTAGGACCAGCTTCGCTGCATCGCATCCGGTCCTAAGAAGTCGCAAAAGGCTTAAAAACCGGTGTCGTCTCTGTCGGTCATACTCGGTTGCAAGAGTGTGAACGGGCCTTAAGTCTCAAAATGTTAATTGTCTTTTCAACATAACCTGGTCCCATTGGTTATTCTTTTCCAAGCATAGTTTGCAACACTGTCCTTCCATCATTTATGGTATGTCACTGTGATGTGGCTGATTAGACATTTTTAAACCCTAGAATTGTGCTGTAGCTGCACTACTTTCTTCGGGGACTTTGAGGAAGGCTTGAGCATGCAGTTCCCTTTACATTATGAAGTTACGAGGTCCTTAGGTTACTTTGTGCCTGATCTCCGTCTGTTCTTTTTTCTGTATATCCAGTTTGAGGTTTTGCATTGATATGAGCTACCTTCAGCTTCGCTTAAATCTGTTTTGTCATATTTGTTTTTTTCATAATCTATTTTGACTTTTTTTTTTGCAAGTCCAGAGCACTTGAATTAAGAGGTTGCGTCTCACTGCTGGTATTCTGTTTTTCAGGAATTTCTTATTCAGATTTCTGAAATTGAATATGGAATATTTGTCTATTAATTTTGTATCATTATTTTCATGTGGAGACACAGTTCGTACCTGTTGGGGACTATGCACTCTATGTTGCTAGCGCAGACATTACAGCTCGACAGGATGTTTTACATTAGTCTCATTGAAGGTTGTTGCAACTGTCGCGTACAAAAACAATCTGCAGATGAAAATGAGACATACATACTAAAATTATATTAATGTGGCAATTTGGGCCAGTTTGTTCATGATTGTAGACAAGCGCCGGAAAAATAGTCAGGGTCAAGAAGCTGACATAAACACTGGCGCACTCATGACTAACATTTATTGAAAAAGAGTTTTAAGAGATATTTTAATAAGTGTTTGTTGCAAGTGTGCCAGTGTTTACGTCAACTTCTTGTCCCTGTCTATTTTTTCGCCGCTTGTCTACGATACTAACATTAAGCGGGAAAAGATACTTCTTGTGGTAACTTTTTTAAACTTAATTTTTTCTTCTTTGGCGGATTGGGTAAGATTGAATACTTTCAAACCTCTAAGGCTTGTGATTGTCTATAATGTCTCGTGCCGATTCTCACAGCTGTGCCCGAACATTTCGGCTGTTTTTAAATCCTTTTTTTTTTTTGTGGTAGCTTAGTTTTGCTACTTCCAGCAGTGCAGGTGAATAGTGTTGTCACTCATATCGGTCGCCGGTATCGGAGATACAGCCCCTAAGTATGTCAGCCTCTTTCGATTCTTCTTCTGTCGGCTTGACATGCACGGAGAGGAGAAAGGAAGCATATCCGGTATCCACCACTTTTTATCTTCTCGGCTGCAAGGGTTGAAAGAAGCCCCGACCACTTGAGGAGCCTTCCGCGATTCCAGGCGCTTAAGGCTTTCCGATAAAACAGTGCAAGGATGAGGAGGTTAGGTCCAAGCTGGTCGGGGCACTGGCAGGTGGACAGGTCTGTCCGAGGAACGTCATTCCCTTGGTCCTTCTTATCTTGGAGTGTCTCGGCATTAAAAAAAAACGAGTCACCTTGCATCATATTGCTAGCTCATACCTGGTTTTGTAGGATGGTGAAATTGTCGTCTGCTTTTTTTATATTGGGGATGCTGTTCTTTCATCCACGTCATTGGAAGAGCAACTCACTGCAGCCGCTGGGGGAGACTTGCTGAGAAAAGGCTACGATTGCGCTCAAGTATGGGTCTAGAAAACAGAAGTTCATAGCCTAGAATCGCCCTTGAAGATGAGCAATCAGACAGACATGCAAGGTGAAAATAAGGGCGGCATTCACTGTTCAGATTATATAAACCTGCGCTGTGTCACGTTGGTGCATGTCAGAAATGAAACAAGAAAAATCCAATATTCTCTGCTTTAAATAATGGTCAATCAGGGCATGTTGAAGTTTGAACATTGTTCATCACCTTTTACACTTCCCAAAAATACTGCTTACACAGTAAGTGTTTGCTGGCCATACATGGAGTGCCTACAAACTTATTGAATGAGCAGAGCTTTTATTCACCATTATAAAGAAGTGAGGTGTAAAGGGGAATGCAAAAAAAATGCTGGTGTTGCAGACTGATAATTCTCCTATGCAAATGAGCAGTAACAACAAAAAATGCAGAAATGTGCAATCCTAAAGGGGTGCTGGGGGCAGCATAATCGTTAATATGGTTGGAAACTCTTATACTGCGAGTCAAAAGTATCTCGTAAGATTGCACACATTTTATATACTACTGTTTCACTTCTTCATTCATATGCTGGCAAGGACCATAATTCTAATCGGGGAAAGCCCCAAACCATGCAAATATATAGGAGAGTCTTTCGTTTATTTCGTGCAGCTTTTGCACATTGTTCAAAGGTAAGTCTGGCTCTATGTGGAACGAGTTTTGCACATCTGTTGCATAGCCTTCGACGAATAGACAGACTAGAAAAGGGCTTCAGATGCCACCTAGGGTGAACCTCTTATAGACTGCATTGGAATCTTGACACACTAAATGCACTCGAGGGAAAACTTTAGTATCGCTGATTGGGACTGTAGTCAAAGGAGCACTAAAGATATGGACCCTGGCGTCTCTTGATTTCGGCCCTATGAGGTCCTAAAAGTGTCACGCTGTCGGCAGACGCTCATTCTGCTGTTACGAGTTGCTTTCTAGCTTGACATTCCACAGAAGCTTTGGCAGCCAGAAGTCGAGACGCGGTGACGACAGCTGCGCTCGCTCCTGCTTTTCGCCAACCACCAGGATCGCAACATCCGACAGATTTTATGTCGTTATTCGCTGCCAACTTGGGGACCACTTTGGATGTATGGGTGGAATGGGACTCTAAACGCACCAGTGGAGACATACTGAAAAAGTTTTTTACTCTTTTTTTTTTTTTTTTTTGGACAAATTCAATGTGCATGCTCCAGAGGTTTAAAGAACTTTGGAGGCAGATGTGACGAATGGACTCGGGCCACTCATTCCATGCATCTGGGGGAGTTTGCGCCCCGTTCGGGTGTGCCCAGCACTGTTTGAATGCTGCCTTGTACTTCTTATCCTTCTTGTACCACCCTCGACAGTCAGTCTTTGATTTGAGTAGAAGTTGTTACGTGTGCAGGAATAGCTTCTTTTTGGAACTTTAACAGTATGTAGATCAAGGTAATGGCCTAAGCAGGCAAAGTAGAAGATCCCTTGGTGCACTTTTGAATTAGATGCATCAAAAGTCTTTTATGTCAGATTATAAAACAAAATCTGTCCGTAAATACTAAGATTCTTTTTAAACATTGCGATGCATCTGATATCGAAACTTAATGCTTCCATTGATCTTTTGATTTCCTCATTTATAGAAACAAACGAAAGAAAACCCTACCATAGTGTCTCATAGGATAGCTATGAAAAACAGGTGCAGGAGTACTAATCCTAATCAGCCTTCGATGGTTGCAGGAAAAAATAAGGAAGCAAGGACATCATTATGACACACTTAAGCTCGGACTTTGCTCGAATGATTTGCTCTCCTTGGTACGTAAAAAGGTCTCTGTGAAGTCTGATGCTAATATAGCTGGTTATTATCGGTACTAATTGTGGAAGCCTGTCTGTAGGCATCTTGTTATAATGTGCATATGCAATGCTCTTTCATCTTGTGTTATTTGTTTTTGATATTTTGTGTAACTTTCATGTTCGTTTGTACTCTCGAGCGTCCCTGGAGTTAAGTCGGGACGTCTGCTTAAGCTGCATATCCTCCTGACCCCGGTTGCAGGCCCGGATGGAGGTGGACGACCTCTTCACGGACCTGGGGGACGGCCGCAAGTTGCTCAAGCTACTCGAGATCATTTCGGGCGAGAAGCTGGGGAAGCCCAACAATGGCAAGATGCGAGTCCACAAGATTGAGAACGTCAACAAGAGCCTGGCTTTCCTTCATACCAAGGTGAATGCAGTAGAAGTTTAGACTTCCGGACGTCTAGTGTCGTTTTTTCTTTGTACAGCTGGAAATCATAATTTGGCATCCATTTTACCAAGAAAACATCTAGTAGTTGAATCAGTGACAATTTTTAAGGGTGGTGACTTCATTTGCGTTATTCTCAGAGTTTTTGGAGAATAGCCCTTTAGGGACAAATGCATTTAGAAAATTTTCGAACACCATACTTTTAGGAAGACTTACAAACGTCCTCAAAAAAAGACGCTTGAAAAAAAATGTACCTTTTGTGGGAACAAATGTCTAACCATGGCAGCCTTTAGGACTTTCAAAGACATACTAATTAGGAGAATAATGACCTAAAATTTTCTAAAACCCTTTTAATCGGTGAAAATAAGCATGTGGTTCAATTTAGAAATTTTCTGAGTGTCGTCAAAAAATTATAAATCAGTAAATTTTTGGACAACCTCAAGCACTTGGGAAATGCAGAGTTGGGCTAAAGTTACAAGTTTTGTGGCAACGCATGGCTGGCAATGCGGAAACGTGGTCAATAAGAATATTGTCTGCGTTTTCACATCGCCAGCCTTTCACCTGCTGCACAAGTGGTAACTTTAACACGACCCCCCATACCTCTTGCATATTTCATATAGGGGCTTCCAAAGACGCTCTGTAAGTTTCTTTTTGGAACCATATGTCTATTTTCATTAATTGAAAGTTAATCTATAAATATTAGGTTATTATTTTGCTAAATAGTATGTTTTTTGCGATTTGTGACGCCCGCCGTGGCTGGCAGTTAGTTTCGAAAACAGCTTCTTTTGTGAACCACTATAGGTATAGGAATTGATAGTTGTTGCAGGAACACCCAGTGTATAAAACAAACTGAAAGTCTCCTAACTTGTTCAAGCCTGTTAGTATCTTTCTTCATGAAGGGGTCCTACATGGTACAAGAATGACCTAACCTAGACCTTTATAGTGTCAGTAGTATAAGCCAGGAAAGGGGGGGGGGGGGGGCATATGTTTAAGTTTGTGCCTCACCAGTTTGCGACGTGCAGATGCACAAACACATTCAATGTGTGGGGACCAAGATAAGTTGTTGGTTAAACTGTCAGTTTGGGAAATGTGGAAACGTTTTGTTAGTGATACGCATGATCAAGGATTTTTCTTGGTTAAGTCTCATTTCCAAGAGATTACACCAGTTTGAGATTGCATCTAGACTTTCATTCAGAATGACTTGATCACCAGTAGGATTAATAACCCTTAAGGACAAGCAGTCACCTGCAAATAAATGAATAATCCCTTTCCTCATTCGAGTCATTAATAAAAATTGAGAAAAATTGGGCCAAAGACACTTCCTTGCGAAATACGAGGGGATAAGGTGTCAGTGCACTGATTGTCTGCATAAACGAAATGCTATCGCATTTTCAGATAAGAGGAAATCTGTTTTGCAACTATAGAGGGAAAGCCGTTTTTGTTTAGTTTGAATATGAGACCGGAATGGGAAGCCCTGTCAAGTGCTGTTATGGAGGGTGATGTCAACTTGACCAGGTTGGTTGACTACATATTGAAGCAATGAATAGTAGAAATAAGCTGAGTGGTAGAGTAGATAGGTCTTTACGGAAGCCAGGCTGAAAAGGCTAGGCTATCTTATGCTGAGCTAAGAAATCAGTCGTGTAATTAGAAATAATTACTTTGCGAGAGCTTACGTGACAAGCTGGTGAGCAATAGGGGCGGTAATTAGACTCCGTTCACCCCTAAGCCGAGACTGCAGTGGGAGGGTGCTACGTGCCCGCCAGACCAATCGGCCGCCTCCCTTTCGTCACCTGACCTTGCCCTCTGTGCGTGGGTATGGACGAGAGCATGATCACGTCGGAAAGGGCTCGTCCAACGAGGACATAGGCCCACCGCAGCCTCAGCTGAGGGGGGGGAACAGGGCTTACTTTACAGCGTACAATCTCCTCTTTTGGAAATGAGCACGACACAAGCGATCCGCCAATCTGATGGAACAACAACCACAAGGATTCTGTTTGGGCTCTTTAAGGGGGGACACTACCCAGAAAAAACAATTTCTGCAACAAAAGGTTGATTTTGAAAAATGCCATATTTACATCCACCAACATCTAGAAGTATTCCCAGAAAGTTTCATTAGTTTACAGTGTATAGTTAATTTTTTTATAAATTATTTTCGGTCCACCGACGCTGAAGGAAAGGTGGAGGTTGGAACACTGAACAAATTATTTTCCATTCCACATATTGGCATAAATTTCACTTTAGGAAAGCTATTGTTTTGTTATTACATAACTTGGATTCATTTTTATGAGTTTTTCTGGGGTGAAATTTTTAGAGGAACATAACTATAAGCTATAAACTATAAGCTTGTATCATTTTTCATGCTCAATAACTAAAATTGTGGACAAAGGATGGCAATCTAAAAAAACAGTATTTGTGTTTATGTGGTTTTTTGTCATGAATGATGGCATAATATAGAAATATAGCTCCATAGTTACCTGCTCTGAACTGTCCTAAAGCAAGATAACATATGAAAACAACAAATTTATAAGTAATTTCAAAACAATAGTTTTTCCTATGCAGACACGCCCACTTTCATCTTTGAACATTTGCAATTTTTTTTGTACTTCACCCAGGTTAACAAAGCTTGGCAGAAATGTTCTCCACATCAACAGAAACAAGCCCTGTAAATGGAATTTAAATCAGGCAAATGGTTTAAACATTCACTTTTTTGGGTAGTGTTTTTCGAGAGTTAGTGTTTATATTTTTACGTTGGTTTTACAATGAATGAGAAAATTTCCTATAGATAGTATGGTGACTAACAAAATTTTCATTTTATTTTAATCCAATTTTTATATAATTTCAGTCTGGTCTTATTTGAACTTGACAATAAATTATCATACCTTAGGAGCCCAGGAATTTCCCCAGTACCCTCACACATTCCCCGAGCTCCGCATTTTAACTGAAACATTATTCCTATTTGAGAACGACCTTAGTAGATTCATGCATAACTGTGAGCTGTACATGCCTTAGTATGGGCATTATTGCTTATAAGGTCTCTTCTGCTCTCTTTTATGGCTTCAATGTCAAGACCGGTAGGGCTTCCTCGGCGGCAGCCATTCTTTGCAGGCTCCTAAAGATAGCCAAGTTTTAGAACTTCTCAGTTAGATAATTGGTCGCTTCTCTTTGATTGTAAGTTTTTATTTTAAGTCCGATCAATAATTTTATTTTATCGAAAGTATCGGAGCTCGAAATCATATTACATAATTGCTCGTTTTCATTGTTGGGGCTCATTTTTGTTTGGAGTCACTTTTTTGAGCCCTTTCGGAAAAGGTCTTTTAACATTTAGTTCCAGAATTTCAAGAGAAACAAGAAAGCGAGCCAATCATTCGCTTGAAGAAGTATAATGGCTTATTAGCATCTTACATTATTGGGAGATTCTTTCGATACAGCTGGGCTTTGTATTCTTGCTTGGTCTACTTACGTGAGTTCGCAAATTTAAGCAATTTGTTCCGTTTACGGTGCTTGTTATTGCGACGGGTACCTCCGGAAGTGGACGTCACCTGTGTGCTCCGAACTGTGCCCAGGTGAGACTGGAGAGCATTGGGGCCGAGGACATTGTGGACGGAAACCCTCGGCTCATCCTCGGCCTCATCTGGACCATCATCTTGCGCTTCCAGATCCAGGACATAGAGATTGACGTGGTGAGTTTCTCTTGCTTGCCTCCGCCTCTCTTTATCATTATTTGCCGTTAAAGCTCTTCGTATTAAGCTCGCTTAAAAATGAAAAAAAAATACTATGGTATGTACAATTACTAACAATTACTGTATCCTCGGGGGCTGGTACTGGTAAACTTGGAAGGCCTGTAGAGGCACTTTAAATGTGTGTGTGATGAAAATACTGATAGCAGCTTGTAGTGCTGCTACTATAGCTTATGTTGCATATGCAGTCAATTGTAGCCAAGTAGTTACTCCCTTTGTTTGTCTATCACTCTACTAATTTTTCATGGGGGCTTAAGAACGGTAGTATCTGGCTCTGAAGAAAAAATATAGAAATGCAAAGTATATTACCAATCTTAACAGGGGTACAGAGAATTGGCACGGGTTCAGGCTTGATGCGGCGGCTGACATTGCGTGCTAGTTGTACTACATACTAAAATTCTAGAAGAAAGCAGCTACCCACGATGATTCTGCATTGTACCGTAAAGTTCCACAGATGGTACAAACTTTTGCTTGCATCTACTTTCTCCCACGGCATATATGCAGCCCCATCTTTCTCTTCGGCAGGAGAGAAGCGAATGACCAGATGCTCATTGTGTTCTGCAACGAAAATAAGACCTTATCAGTTCCCATCACTCAGTGTAAACAATAGTGATTGACTCTTCCCACACTCGTCGGTAAAGTAGACTTGTGGCATTTGTTCCAGAAAAGCTTGTATCATCTGTGAGGATTTTACGGTAGTTTGTAAAAAAAATTATGGGCAGGTGCTGTGAGTGGACACTTTATAAATTGCTTATAAAAACACTGATTGTTAGGGGTGTGCGAATCGTGCTGCATCATTCATAGCCTTTATAGGGCAACTGTAAGCCATACCAACTCTCTTTGCGGTGCTTGAGATGACACTGGGCCATTGAGTTTAGATTCACACTCGCCTACTGATCATAGAAGGGGGTCAGTGATGTTCTGGGCAAGCAGTTTTCAAAAGGTATTTCTTCATTGAAGCCCGTTTTGACTTTGTTCACTATAATTTTTGCTTTCTGTGTGGATTAGTATGCCATTCACAGTTCCTTTGTGTATTGTTGTATTGTTGCAGAATGAAGATGACGAAAGCAGTGAGAAGAAGTCAGCCAAAGACGCTCTGTTGCTTTGGTGCCAGAGAAAGACAGCAGGGTGAGCGGGATCGACATAGATTATTTTCATGCGGAGTGCATTTTAACAAGAACAAAGTTGAGATTTGCGTCACATAGCCGTAAGGTATCCTGGCGTGCCATTTTAAAAATGCATTTCTGCCGTCCCGTCATTTTTTCTCAGTGAAGCCTCGTATCTAATTTTTTGCAACGTTCGTGGATAGTTGCGAAATGAGTCTATGCGAGTGGAAGAATAATACACTCGCATAGACTCATTAATACATAATACATTTAAAAAAAAAAATGAAAGCCGTTTACAACTCCCCGTAACACCGTATTAGAGCGCAGCTCTTGAGGAGGAGGAGGGAAGGGTACTGAGGGTAGGGTATACCCCCTCCTTCCTCCCGCCTCACCTTGTCATCCTGTCTGCTACCCCTCCCCCCGAGTGGCGTCGCCGTCGCCTCACAAGGGTCACATGACCTCACGGGGGTCATGTGACGTCACCGGGGTCACGTGACTTCACGGGGGTCATGTGGCCACTATGAGGTCACGTGACGATGACGATGACATCATCAGTGACGTCACCAGTGACGTCACTGTTGACGTCATCATCCCCAGTAACATCATCAGTGACAATGACGATGCGGATGCCGATGACGTCATCAGTGACGATGACGATGCGGATGCCGATGACGTCATCAGTGACAATGACGATGTGGATGCTGATGACATCACTGATGATGTCATCAGTGACGATGACGATGCCCATGACGTCATCAGTGACGTCACTGATGACATCATCAGTGACGTCACGCGTCCCATGATGCACCGCACAATTACGCCGACGGCGACGCCGACACCGCTCAAGCTGGAAACGGGTGCCTAAGAGGTGTGCTCTAAAATGTTACCTCCCATAGAGCAAATTTAGAGCTCTCTCTGTGGTTCCACCTGTCAATACGTTCTGTTTGCACAGACAAATGTCTGTGTAAGCAGAATGTATTGACAGAGAAAGCTCTTTTACATATCACTATTACATATTACTTTTACATATTACTATATTTCGTACACATCAGTTTAAAAATTAACAAGAAAGGTGCTTGTGTACTGAACTGAATGAAGTGCTTGGGAAAGTGTGCATTTTTGAACTGAATAGTTCTTTCGTACGCCAAAGATTACGGTCACCCAACAAAGCAGTGACCTGAGCCATACCGTGCCATCGTCCGCTAAATTTATTGGGCTAACCTTCAGCTAAACTTAGCGGGTCAACGTTCAGCTAAAGTTTGCAGGCCAATATTTAGCCAAATTTAACGAGATAAAGTTTAGCTAAAATATAGCGGGCCGACGTTCAGCTTAATTTAGTTGAGCCAACGTTCAGCTAAAATTAGTTGATTAAGATCATCTGGCGGGCTAGTTGGTTGTACATACGGAAATATACAGAGTGCAAAACAACAAGGAAGGAAATACTAGAGAGACAGGAAAGAGCACTGCTTCGCTCTTTCCTGTCTATAGTACTATCTATGTGGAGAGCGAGTTCGTCTGCTTCTTTTGCAGGGGAATTGTGGTGGCGTCGGAACACCGAGCTTTGTTTGGCTCTGACTAAAGGATAGTGGGTAGACCTCAAAGCAAGCTGCCTTGAAGTCTACAGACTATCCTTCAATCATAGCCAATCAGAGCTCGGTGTTCTGACGTTACCACATCCCCTGCAAAAGAAGCAGACGAATTTTCACTCTGCATAGCGCTGTCTATCTATAGCTAGTATATAAAGAAGCCCTGTTTATAGCTATAGTGCTCTCTCCTGCCTCCCTCATACTTTCTTTCTCGTCGTTTTTGCACTTTACTATCTCAAGAAAATGAGTAATTTAAAAGACAACTCGTCTTCATTTTTTTTTTTTTTAAACAATGCAGTGTTTTCTTTTTATCGCCTAGGAAGACCACACATCAAGTATGACGACCTAGTTCTCTCCAAATGTTTCTTAACCCCTTAAGTGCCAAATTTCTTTTTCCAAAAGTAACTTAAAAGTGCCATATTTTTTATTTTGAATTGTTATTCCTCTCGTATTACACGTAAAATTTGAAAAGTTTATTACGCAAAAATCAGCGGAGGTGAAAAAAATATTTGCCAACTGAAATGAGTGCTGCCATCTATGATCAACGCCGCAAAACTACTTAGACGAGCCTAGCTTGTTCGTGGAACTGAGGGCTACCAAAAAAAACACCGGACGAGCTGAGCTTGTCCACAGCATTTTTAGCCAGAAAGTGGCCAACGAGCTCAGCTCGTTTAAGGCACTTAAGGGGTTAAACAGTCCAGCAAACTCTGTAATGCGCCAAGTTTCCGAAATCGGCAGACTCGAGCGGGCAAATTGAGGTATAGCCAACAGGGCAGTCAAGGCTACGGCTCGGGCGTAGCCAACATTGAGCTAAACATCATCACCATTGCCCCTTTTCACTTGTTTTTACTTCTCTGGGCAAGCGTGACGGGTGACATCAGCAACATTCCTTCTCGGTGCTCAGCGGTGTCCACGTGATTGGCGTAACTCGCCTGCGCAGCTCGCTCCTCAAGAGCAGTCTGGCCATTCCCACCGTCTCCCGCGTCTCAACCGCCGTCGTCATCTCACCATTTATGATTATTGTCCCTTGGAGTTTCGTTAACACTACAGACACTATGTGCGCAGACTTATGCCGTAGTTGTGCAGAAGTCGTCCAATGCCGTAGACACCAAAAACGTGGTGAAGAGTGCGGTGCAGACGACACTTGCGTCTGGCACATGCCCGTCTTGATCCCACCCGTCGTTGCGTAAAGGATCACGTGACATCTCGTAACCTGTAGTAGCCATGTTCTTGGCAGCCCGAGGCCAATGTTGCCAAACAGAGCCGAATTTTCGGTTTCAATTTCTGCTCGTGTTTCAAGCAAGATTTAACAATATACATCACATTTTTCGTGAGGAAAATTGTTCAGTGTCTTTTATTAATGCTTTTTAATGTGAAATTACTCATTGTCCTGAAATCTTCGAAATTGAGTGAAGTTGCCCTTTAACATTCAGCTAAATATAGCTGGCCAAAGTTTAGCTTAATTTAGAAGGCTAATGTTTAGTAAATTCATTGGACTAACATTTTGCTAAAATTTGGAGGTTAACATTCAGCTAAATTTTATTATTGAATGTTACCAGTCTAACACAGAACTAAATTTAATGGATCATCATGAAGCTAAATTTAGTGGGCTAACATTCTGCTAAATTAAGTGGGCTAACCTTCAGCTAAATTAAGTTGGCTAACCTTCAGCTAAATGTAGTGGCCAACCTTTAAATTTAATGGGCTAACGATTAGTTTAATTCTAAGCTGAATTAATGCATTTTTGATTCGGTGCCATGACTATACCAGTGTTGAAAGGACTTCTCAGCTGCATTCACAACATTGCCTTTGCGTCAGGCAAAAAAACGTTCAGCCTTTCCACTCCCGTGAAGAAGGAAGACCAGCGGAGCTGTACTCGATAAACTGTGTGCTTCTTCTTCTTCGTCGTCGTCCGTTTTTCGCGCTGTTTCCTGCGATGAATTCCCGCCAACGCGCCCAACTATCCATTCTTCTATTGTAGCTGGAAAGGTTGCCGCCATCTATGAGCGACGGCGGAAACCATACTGGTTGTGTGCTTGCCGCCGTCGCTTACAGATGGCGGTAGCTGTCCAGGTAGGTTTGTGTCGACATACACGGACTCAATCCTGGGGAACCTAGCTTTTAACGGCTCCGCCGTAAAAGCTTTGTTTCACGGGCGCTTGCGCATCCACCACTGCGTGACATTGGACAACGTGCGCACATTTGTCCCTTGTCAGGCAGTTTCGTCTTCTACGGTTGGCGGGGCACACCACTAGACATTCCTCTCCGTAGAACTTGGTTTGTGTCTACTATCAGATCTAAAGCACTACTCATCACGGTCTTGATTTAGCTTTAGGCAAGGGCATTAACTTGTGTGTGTATTCCCTTCCCTGCATACCTCGGTGACCACAAGACTGTGTGGTGTGTGATCTAGTAGTATGAGAGCAGTATTGATAAAAGTGAACTGCACTCAATATTAGGTATTGCTGTCACTTCTTTGCACACTGTGGTGTAAAGATGGGCAATTTGTTTACTGCACATTCCCTTTAAAGGTGAGACTAAACTGTCGTGTTCTAACTCGTCCAGGTATCCATCGGTGAACATCCAAGACTTCAGCTCCAGCTGGCGCAGCGGCATGGGCTTCAACGCGCTGATCCACGCACATCGGCCGGACCTGATTGACTACGACGCGCTGCAGCCAGCCGACCACATTGACAATCTCAACAACGCCTTCAATGTTGCACAGAGGGAACTGGGCATCCCGAGGCTTCTCGACGCCGAAGGTTTGGATGGCCTCTGCCTAGGGGTAGCTTTATGGGTCAGGCTTGGGGCGCAGCAGTGGAATCACAGGCAGATTTAATCTAGTGAGCGAATGTGATGTCACTGATCAAAATAATTGCTATTTCACCAATAATGATGCATTTCTTCCTTAAATTGAAACTAGCTTGATCATGCTGATAAAGGCTGGGGAGCGCAGAATGTTGTAAATGAGCTCAGTGCATGCTATGTGTGTGTGTGACATCATGAGGTCATGTAATTGGCATTGCACACATCATGATGTAATGTGATGTCATGGTGTCACACGATATGATGTCCCGTGACATGACCGAGTCACATGTCATATCACATGACAGTCACATAACTTCATGATGTCACACAGCACCTTGGTGTCAAGTGACATAGTAATTCTGTGTGACATTTTGATATCACAAGGCACCAGGACATCATGTGGCACTGCAATGTCACAGTCGTGTGACGTCATGGTGCCGGTAACAACATAATGACAAGAGGAACTGTGATGTCGCATGACATCAAGATGTCATTACTCACCAGGACGTCATCTTGACATCACGTGGATGTCAAGGTGACGTCCACATGGTGTAATTACGATGGGACATGATGATGATGTCATGTGACAATGATGTTAGGATGTTCACATAGCATCACAGTGATGTCTGGATGACATTGTGGTGACGTCACCATTACGTCATAGTGGCACCGTGATCTAACTGTAATGTCATGACAGTCACATGGTGTCATGTTACATTATAACATCACGGTGACATTGCTGTGACATTTACACTTTCTGTGTTAAAACTAGTGTGTTTCTTGATATAAAAATAAGTTTGCTTGGGGAGAGGGAGGGGGAGGAAAAGGAAGAAAAGGAGGAGACAGCCACCCCCCCCCCCTTCCCTGCTTCTGTCTGAAAAAAACTTTTGGGGACATGTACAAGGTTTGCGGTAGTAATTCGGGGTGCAGACAAAACCATTTTACAAAAGTAATTGTAAACAATTCTGTTTTTGGCGTGATGCAAAAAACAACAAATTTGATGTTTCTTTTTAAACATTTTTAAACAGCGCAAGTCTGCTATGTCTTTGTGGCACAGTAACACTAGTTTATGCTTTAGGTAAGATATTTAGTCAGTGCAGCACCACTGGTAGCCTGGGGTCTTCAGCGTGCATCAGGCAGTAGTGGTACGCATCAATACACCGGTGCGATGCTGATCCAGATTGCAACGGAAAAAGTTGTTCTGTTAGTAAACAAAAAGAGGCAGTGATCTTGTATCACAATTCACTTTCTTTTCTTGTTTATGTGTGATCAGCACTGTGCAATGCACATTAAAAGGCCCACCAGGTTAACAGCCATACTGCACCGCCAAAACTGCCTGTCTACAGTAGTGAGACAAGTTGCCTTATTTTGTGGCATTAACTTTGTGCGACCTGAATATCCGTTCAACCAATTTGACTTGACATCTACGAGTGTGAGGTGCTCGGTGAAACTTTGTCGATCTTATATTTTTAAGTTATCAGAGTAATGAATGTGCAGGTAGCTTTATTAAATATCGGAATCATACTTATTAAGGAAGCAGGAATGCATGGTGCTTTCTTTTGGCCAATGGTAAGGAAAAGTAGGGAGCTTTTACTATTTTAGCATACTTATGCTTTTTGCTTTATGAAGACACCCGGAATGTTTCCAGATATATTAAGCATAATTAGCACATACCGTAAAATACTGAGGGAGTGCCCATCTCAGTTTCACTGAAAACTAGGTTATTTTAAACATGGGTGCTTCTCCCGGCAAATAGGGCACTTAACATATTATTTGCAGAATTCCCAAATTTGAGAGATGCTAATAGTGGGTGCTTGAATGAAGTGAACGCTTCCACGGTATTTAACAATAATGTATTTAATAAACATATCTTAAGGGCCTTTGTTATAGCTTCGATATCCAGATATATACTATAAAAGTTGTACCTAAGAATGAGACTTTGATACTGGAAGTTTTTGCTGTCTCATATATTCCCCTGCCTTTACACACTCCCAGACATTGACACCAACAAGCCCGACGAGAAGTCTGTGATGACGTACGTGGCGTCATACTACCACACGTTTGCCCGGATGAAGAACGAGATGAAGCAGGGTCGTAGGATTGCCAACGTGAGTTCATTTCTCTCGCGAGTTTTTGAGCGTTACTCAAACCACATGTTGCTAGGGGTGGTTTAACTAAAGACAAAGCTACGAATCATGATTTGGGCGTTTTGGACGATTTGGCACAGTGTGCATACGCCGCTTTTAATTAAACATCCTTCTTTTGCACTCTCAGTAGCTATGGTTCCGACTAAATAGTTCCCGGCCGAAGTGCCTGCGATCTGACGGGCTCATTGCGGTTTATAAATGTTCCACACACCTGAAATCGGTTGCGCGGTAAACATCTTGAGGGGGTTCGAATTATTCCTTGGGCTTGTTACGAGGCATACCAGATGCAGAATCTAAACCCTTGACATTTTGATGCGAAGCAACGTTTGATGCCCTCCTCGAGCTTTCTCCGTCCTCCGCAAATTGGTGACTTTGGCCGCTCGCCGGCGCGTCGCCCGTGCAGATTGTGGCCCAGATGATGGACGCAGACCGGCAGAAGAGTTGGTACGAGCGTCTGACGTCCAAGCTGCTCGAGTGGATTCAGGCCAAGACGGCCGAGCTGCAGGACCGCCGCTTCCCAAACTCCCTCGAGGGCATCCAGGGGGAGCTGCTGCGCTTCAAGGAGTATCGCACCGTCGAGAAACCACCCAAGTGAGCCGCAGCCACACGCTGCTCCGGCGGCATTCCCTACACGGCCCATACTTGACGTCGACTGTCTTCTGCTATTTTGTCGAAAGCTTCCTGCTACAGAGAGCACGGGGCCTCGTCTGGCGCCTCATTCGCGCACACTCTCGCGCGAAGGAGGCGCTGAATGAAGCCACATGCTCGCGGAAGTTGCTTTGACAGTTTTGCGGCACTGCAGAAACTACGCTAGCCTCATCAATATAGCGCGAAATAGTTGATGTGGTGTGTAGTAGTGGATTGGTGTGTTTCCGGCTGACATTGTAGATTGAAGCCATTGCTCGTTCATTGTAACGAGCCGTTACTAACATGACCCTCTATTGAGCAAAGACGACTTTCAGACTATGTTTTAAGTGTAGAAAATCGAGACCTTCATTTCTTTTATACTTTCCATATTTTATATTTATCTTTTATATTTTCTATATTTTATATTTGAGGAATGCAGAAATGTTGGCCCTATAGCATTGAGGCTCGTTCGTTGTGCTTATTGTTCTTCCCCTCCCGTAAGTTTTCGTGAACATGCTCGGAAGGAGTTGCAGTGGTTTAAAGTTTGAAATGCTTCTGAATGCTTAAACTTTAGTTGCCACAAATGTGACCACTGTGGCTACATACGAAGGGATCGGAAGTCTGAAAAATGAATGGTCCTTCAGCTACTCAAAGGAACTTTATATGGCTGGCAAGTTTTCCTGCTCCTTGCCCCAAGGGCGTAGTGACGTCACGGTGCCGAGCTCTGAAGGATATATTGGGTGTCTTCACCCTCCTTTTCTACATTTGAGAAAGAGGCAGAAAATTAATTACCTTGAAGGGTAAATACTTTTTGTCAATTCAACGGCTACCAAACTCGCTACAAGGAACATAAGAACTCGCGGTCGAGACATTCTTTGCTACCCACTGAGGAGAATGCCCTTCTGAGAGGGCGGAGCTCCGTCGCGCACAGGATCACCCCCTTTCACCTTTTTGCACCTCCTCTCCCAGGCGCATGATTTAGCAGTTCTGGCTTAGCTGGCTTGTTGCCTTCCTCTGCCAGGTGGCGTTAGCTCGTTCTTAATTTCTTCTCGCATGAATAGTAGTCAAACTTTTGTAGGTTGTGGCTCGCATCTCGGTAAATTTGCTCACACTAGTTTTTCCCGCATAACTCGCCAGAATTAGGGATGTCACAACCTTGCAGAGGTTCCAGTTTGACCAAGTTCAACTTTTTTAAATTCGTAATGCAGAGTCCAACAATAGTTCGACCTAAGTTTAGCTATTATACGTGTGTGCACAAATTGAGAATGAGCTGACGCCACCTGGCAGATGGGGCAACGAACTAGCTAATCCATTAAAATAATATATGTTTGCTTTATATTGCATCAACATTTGTAATCATTTTCTAAAACTTAAAAGAATCTACCGCACAAAATAATTTTTATTCATTTCGGAATTTTCGCATGCAGGTCAAGAAATGCTGATAAAAAAATTAATGTCGTTGAATTTCGCTGGAAGTTTCGAGAGCCAGTTTCACTAGGTTGGATGTCTGATGTTAAAGTTTGCCGCGTCCCTAACCTTGTGCGGCTCGACGAGAGTTTGAGACATTGGCGCTGCCGGCACGCAGGTACAAGGAGCGCAGCGACATCGAGGCCCTGCTGTTCGACATCCAGACGAAGCAGAAGGCGCTGGGGCGGCCCCTGTACAGCCCGCCCGAGGGCAAGATGGCGCACGACATCCAGCGGGCCTGGGACCAGCTGGAGGAGGCGGAGCACGCCCGGGAGGTGGCCCTGCGGGAGGAGCTGCTGCGCCAGAAGAAACTGGAGAACCTGGCTTGCCGCTTCGACCGCAAGAGCGCCGTGCGCGAGGGCTACCTCAAGGAGATGATCCAGGTGCTGTCGGACCCCCGCTACGGCAGCAACCTGTCCCAGGTCGAGGCCACTGTCAAGAAGCACGAGGCCATCAGCGCCGACATTCTCGCCAGGGTGAACCTCTTTCTGGACGCATTTCCGAGCACCGTGCACTCTCTGCGACCACGGCTCAGTTTGTAATTGACAAAGTGGTCTGCACGCGTGTGTTATTTACCTGCTTCGAGTATGCATACGGGGTAATAAGCCCGACGAATAGGATGCGACATATTAGCTTGCGAACGGCAAGATAAGGACGAGGCTCTTACTATCTTGATCTACACATTAGACTACAAAGAGCCTGCCAGGCCTGAAATGTTTCGCCTAGCTTTATTCGCCGCTGCCTCCGTCCCTTCGAAACTTGACAATATTGTTTTGATTCCTCGCTAGAGCTTGCTTTGATGGTCCTGGTAGGTCATCTTATGTTTGTATCGATGTAGCAAGACATTTGAATTGCAGTAGTGCTACAACTAAAGTCGTCGGTTGGTCACGGGAGGTTCGTCCGCCGAATGTAGACAGTTAGATATTTTTGGAAATTGGTCTTAATGGGACTAAAAACTTCGTGGACGAAAAATATTTCTGGAATTTCCGCGGCAGCTTCTAAGCGGCTTAGTAAGGAAACATTAATGCGGTACGGGACCGTGCGACGCAGTGATTTTGGCAACAGGTTTTTGTGGAGAAAAGAGCATACTAGGCATGGTAGAATTTACGGCGAGAGCGACTGCTTATAGAGATGGTAGCTCAACCAATCGTGGAATGGTGTCTTGAAGGAGGGAAGACGAGCAAACAATGAATGATGATTGCCAATGAGCATCGGAACGTACATGGCTATTATGGACATCCTAGGATTGTGCAAATATCCTAATTTTTGAGTAGTAGTTCTGTATAATACGCCGTTTGAGATTCCCTTTGCGTTGCAGTCACCAACCAATTATTTATGACTTTGCAGGGATCGAAAAAACATCCGAATAATAGAGCAGTCCGAAAAATTGTCAGATTAAGAAACTTGCCTTTATTACGACTAAGTGGGCTAAAAAAAGCCGTAAATAGTGCCTTGCTTCAGGTCATGCTTGCACGCCTCGTTTTTGGTTATGCCTCTGTTTGCATTCGGCAACTTTCTATTAGCTTGAGAATCGCTGCCTTCTTTTCTAGCATTATGGTCGAGTACTTTCTGCGCTGAGCGACACATCGCGGTGGCGGAAGAACAGATGGGGCAATGACGTGATGGTGATTCCCGCTGATCGCTCGCAACGATTTTGTCAGAAAAATTTAACTTTTGGACTTCAATCTGTCAGAAACGTTGGCCGTGAATATGCACTATTTCCCCCTATCGGGTAAATCACAGTTCCTCCTTAATGTCAGAAATATCCAACAAGTCCAAATTATCAGCATCCGGAAAATCGGTCGGCGACTGTATTTGCATTTTTAAGAGTGTTGATTGTGCTGGGTTAGCCTCGTTGAGCACGCTTCTTACCAAGCACCGGTGCAGTGTGGAGAAAAGGCACCTATGGAGCTAACTTGCCACGAGAACACTGCGGCCGGCACAAATATTGCAGCCGTGCCCTTATTAGAAAGGTGCCCTTTCAAAGCGGGATGATGCACGCACGCACCATGGTGTAGAAACTGGAACTTTAATTATGTTCATATTTATATTTTGTAAAATTTTCAAAATTAAACTCTGGGTATTCTGTGAGAATATATGTCAGGCAGTGGTTCCTGGCAACCTGCGTTCATCGTTATTGATTTTAGTTTTTTCAAATTTGTGACTGTAGAAGGAATATCTGCATGTAGAAAAATGGTCTTGTAAATCCACTTAATCAATCGGGCATAGCTAAGCATCTTCATAGGTTTAGTTTTATGTCAAATCCATTGTCTAGTTGCCATCTCAATGTAGGCATTGGACTTTCTGAGTGCACTGCCCATATAGTTAGATTAAAATTAACCTAGCTTTGAAATTGACATAGCTTGGGAACAACTATTCACCATTCACTTTAAAAACATTCGGCCCTAACAACTATTGTCTTCGAATTCCCCGGGAACTTAAAATCCACTATTTGCAAGTGCCTAGAAAATCCACCTGTTACGTTTTATGTGCTAGTCCCGAATTTGAATTATTCCTACTCTGAGAAGTTGTCTTTCAAGTGTTTCTATACTTTGCACGGAGAGAGCAGCGACGGAAAATAGTTTGATATATTTGATAGTTGCTTTCTTTTTTTTTTTAATAGGAGCTATTGAAAAGAACTTTGAGCACTGGTTAGCTTCATATGGAGCCCACCGAGACAACCCTAGAAATTGCTGTTGCAGGAGGAGCGATTCCAGAACCTGACAAAGATGGCTGAGCAACTTGAGAAAGAAAACTACCATGCAAAGGATCGCATTAGGCTCAAGTGAGTTTCCTTTCCTGGTGAACTCGCAACACTGCTTTCAGTTTTTATTTCTACAAATACTTTCGATTTGAATGTGATCATACGACGGAGATCAGTCATGGTTGTGTTCCCAATTAGGGTTTGGTTGGACGTCCTTTTTAATACTTTTGATATGTAGAGCTTAATTGAATCTTCTCACGAGCAGCACCTGCTTTAGCGAAGAATATTAGCTGTTTAAGGTGAATGAGTTGAGGCTGCAGAAAAAAAAGCTGGAAAGATGTTTCTTAGCTATAGGAACTCTCTGAGTATGGATATGTTGCAACTTTTCAGAGACCAAAAAGGGTCTTTTATCGACTGATGTTTCAATGCAGGATGTGTTTACGGGCTGGTTTTGCCATCAAGAGCGCCACTAAAAAGTGTCACGCAGGTTCCCTCGGCGCATATGAAACACTTCATCCCCTGCCAGGAATTGAATTCTGAACCTCTCACTTCGCAGTGCGGTGCTCTACCTTCGATAGAAATAACAGAGAACATGCAGGCGAGCTGGTGGACTTTCAACTTTTTAATACCCAAGAACAAAAAAATTGATGCGAGGGGAGAACTTTTTTATTATTATTTATGATAACTGAATGAAAATTTCACAGTTTATAGTGCTTGAGCTCCTTTTTAAAAGTGTGGTGTTAGTTTTGACATAGCTTGTTTTTTATGTCCTGGATGCTAGACAAATGCAGAAAGAACCATATTTCTTGCAGACAGATGGGGCATGGCAACAGACTTAAGAAATAAGCTAATCTGCTCCTTTTAAGCACTTGAGTGCAATGAACAACAAAGATAATGTGTGCGAGACCTCTTATGTTTAATTAATTGAAAATTACAAAAATGCATTTCCAAAGAACTAATAAAAGTTTCTTAAATTTTTCATAAATATAAAAACAAACATTAACTAAATCTAAATAGTTGCACTCTACATATTCTAAAACACATGCTTTAGAATGTGGTTGTCTTAGGATAATATTTGGTTGTGATAGGAACCTCGATCTAATGAACCCCAATCTAACGAAAACCTAAATTTAACAATATTTTTTTTTTCGTCTCCCTATCTTGCTTCCATTGAAGACAATGTATTTTATCTCTCAATTTAGCAAAGTACTTTTGCGCCGCTGTTTCGATTTAACGAAGTCTTGGAAAATTGCATATACACATATCAACAGCCTCCACGAGAAAAAAAAAAAAAATTAACAGCAGCAAAACATTACTGTCGAAAACTAAGCAGGAGTTCTTCAAATGCTTATTTGACTAATTTTACAATTATAACCGGTCTCTATTATTTTTATACATAAAATATAAAGATTCATAAATAATAAACCACTAAAATCCTAAATTAAATTTTTTGCAAACTATTGCCGTTTTCTTACCTTTATAGGGTGGGTGGTGCTCTTAGTTCAGTAGGTGCCTTGGATAAAGTTTTGTATGGAAACAGATTACGTCACACCATTGTCTCTTTGGGAAGCTCGCATGCTTCCCTTCAGCACCACTCGGATTGGGATCCTTTGCACTGAATCTTTTGGGTCACCAAGGGAGGAGCGGCACACTTTCCTGCCCTTTCCACTCCTCCTCGCTCCACGCACTCTTTCTGCACCACCGGTTTCTCCTTCCTCTTTCCACCCCGCTCCACTTCACGTGCTTTCTCAAAACCCCTGCTTCTGCTGCTCCTCTCGTTCCTGCATGCTGGGTCCGTAGCTCAGTCAGCAGCATACTCGGTTTCATGCCGGTGACCTGAGTTTGATTCCTGGCACTGGTTTCCATTTCTTTTCAAGATTGTTTAGCAGTTACGGACTGGCCGACTTGCACTATTCGTGCTTATGCGGCTCCTGAGGTTGGTCCGCCTTATAAAACTACCCCTTTAAAAAGTGGACCTTTGCACTAGCAGATTGGCTTGAATGTTTTTTGTTAGAGCTGCTAGCTGTGTATTTGTTTTGTCTCAAAACATTTGTCACCCCCTCATAGGGACAAATAACATGATGCCATGTGATCACCTATTCACTATAGACTTCATGATCTTGTAAGCTATAGTTACGTGATCATGTGACCACCATAGATGTCACTCGATCCACCAGTTACATGATCATGTGAACTAAGGTAACCTGTAATGCTTTTTTGTAATGCTCTAGAACAGTGGTTTTCAAATAGGGGTCTGCGGACCCTTGGGGTCCACGAAGGCATTCTGGAGGTTCGCAAATTCCTGTCTGATCGGACAAGTCTGGCCATAAAAGTTGTATTTTTTCCAGATTGAAAAAAAACAAAAAAACGTTCAAATGTTCGGGTGAGTTTTCTTGTGTGTGTGTTAATGAGAGAAGTCTACTTCACACTAGTCATTAGTTACATCCATTTATTAAATCGTTATCGTAATTAACCTATATCTTTCCCTTCCCCTCGTCACGAACGGGATCCTCCATTGTCTCCGCCGATCCACAAAGGGTCCGTGAAACATCAATGTTTGAGAACCACTGGTTTAGAAGGCAAAGCCAGCTCATAAAAGCATTTTGCTTTAAAAAAAGGCACAAATGAAATTGAACTAGGTTTTTGCACACAGATTGAGAAGACGTCGGAAAGAAATTTAAATGTTTCTATCCTCTGGATGAAGTTGGGAGAGACACAATGTGCAACATGTTTCAAGCTCGTAGCACTATACCAGCAAGGTACATATGGAGCAACTATAGCCACGCCTACCAAAGCACCTCTACTAGCATAGGGGATAGAATATCATATTACATGGCGAAAGGTCAGTGGTTCGATTCACACAAAATGGAAAGTCTAAAAAAAAAAAAATAACCGGCGGTGCTATATTACAGCGGAGCTGTTAAGGGCTAGTTTCTCCAGGATTGTGTCCCCCGCAAAGAAATGTATGTCGACACAAAATCTAGACAGCTATCGCCATCTATGAGCGACGGCAGCAACCAGACAACCCGCTTGCCGGCTTTGCTCAAAGATGGCGGCAACCTTTCCAGCTTTTCCACTCTGGTTTTCACTAGAGTGGAAAGGCTGCATTTCTCTAGGCGTCATCCTAGATGTCATCCTTAAGGTCGTCCTAGATGTCGTCCTTGAGGTCGTCTAGATGTCGTCCCTGAGGTGGTCCTAGGCATCATCCTCTAGGTGTCGTCCTCAAGGTCGTCTTTAAAGTCGTCCTTGAGGTCGTCCTAGACGTCGTCCTAAGGCGTAGTCCTTGAGGTCGTCTGACCATAGTACAGCTTCGCTGGTCTTCCTTCTTCACCAGAGCGGAAAGGCTGAAAGTTGTTTTTGTTCCGTTTTGCGATGCTCTGGACTTGAAAATCAGCCACCTACTCAGCGTTAAAGCTTGAAGGGAGTAAAGTGGAGCGAATAAATTTAGTGGAGTGGGTAAAGCGGAGCGCAGAAGAGCGTGCAGTTGGAGGCGTCTGCCGCCTCCTGAGCGTCGGCTGCAGTGCCCATCCACCCCTTAGGGAGGGAGAGATCCTGGGGCGCTGGGGGCTGCTGCTGGAGCTGCTGGAGAAGCACCGGCTGACACTGTCGAGCGTGAGCCTGCTCATGGGCCTGCTGCGGGAAGCGGACACCCTGCACGCCGAGATCCGGGCCATGGAGGCGGGCTTCCTGTCGGACGAGTATGGCCGCCACCTGCTAGCTGTGGAGGACCTGCGCCAGAAGCAGGCCCTGGACGAGCTCAACTTGGCCTCCAGGGGCGAGGCCATCCGGCGCCTCACCCTCCAGGCGGCTCCGCTGCTCGGCCACAGGGAGGGCCCTGTGCTGCAGCGCAGGCTGGACGAGCTCAACGCCGACTTCGCCAGGTCTGGGGACACTCCTTCTCTCGCAGGGACGCCCTGGGCACTTTTAAAAGAAAGCTGAAAAGGCGATTTCCATCTTGTAATCGCCAATTACAATTTCAACGTAGCCCCGCCCATCGTGGCACGCCGAGTGCAGGAGAGTACGAGAGCGGAGAGAGAAACTAGCAAAAGGGACATTGGCGGTGGGGCCAGATGTCCCTTGCCCGCTACTAAGCTGGCTCCGGGAGGCCGACGACGATGTCACAACGTCATTGACAGATAAAGGGTGACGGAGAGGCTCACCGCATGCACTGCGAGAATCGTTGCGCACAATTAACGGTATAGATGCGGTTCACGTTTACTTCTGCACAAGTGCAATAATTGAATTCTGGGACAAAATGCTAGAGAAGTCCACTCCTAACTCAGATTTATTGAAAAGTGCTTCAGCTTTTTTTGTTTATTTGTTTATTTTGTGACACGCATATCCGCACTTAAATAAGTGTTTCTGAGCTTTGATAATTTCTTTATAAGGAAGAAGATGCGTAAAGGATAAGACGAGACAATCGCTGCTGCAAAAGCAGTCGTATACCGTCCAGTCTATTTCTTACCGCCGTGCCCCTTTTATAGAAGCGATAGCCTGGTTGTGGACCTGCCCGTGCTGAAGTGGTCCCGTTTCTCCACAGCCTGGGCAAGCTGGCCTCCCAGCGGCGGCGTCTGCTGGACGACTGGCGGGCCTACTTCCAGTTTGTGCAGGACCACGAGGAGGAGGAGGCCTGGGTCAAAGAGAAGCAGCGCATCTGCAAGGCTCAGGTCGCCGGCAAGGACCTCCTCGCCCTCGTGTCGCTCCAGCAGAAGCACAAGGTGCGTGTTTGCTCCAAACCAGAAACCACTCTTGGGGCATCTCGTCACGATCCTTAAAGATTAACCATTTGCCGGTCTGGAAACTCCGGCAGTTTCCCCCCTACTCCGTCTGACCTTACAACTGACCATAGCGGATGCTACGAGCTTTTGTAGCCAGTCCAAGGCCATGTGAGTTTTACGGGACCTTGGAGAGAGGATGCAGTGACTTTGCATAATTCACGGATCTGGATTGACTTGTATGGCTCGTATCGTCCGCTGCATTTGGACGAAAGGTGAAGCAGAGTATGGTATGTTCTGTCACATCAAGCAGCGCTCATCAATGTAGGAACAATTGTGAATTTTTTTCGATAGGTCCACAAGGTTTTACAAAGGAGTAAACACATTTAGTGACTTTCTTCCCGGTGGCTTCTCTGAGCTTTGGCTTACCCACTAGGTTCTTCGAGCAATTTGACTGCTTGACTCCTAATGTCAGCAGTGTGCCTCTGGTGCTTCCATTTGTCCCTAGGGAAAACATTCCCATAGCACGACGAAAACCTTCCAGACTAGGTAATCTAAAGAACATAGTCTTTTCTACGGGAGATTTCTTTCGCTTCTCAATATAACTTTTTATCCTTCCACCAGGTGGCGCCACTTTCCCGGTGCCTCGCGTGTCTCATGCTCACCTGTTGATTGAGTGTGTGGTTTGGGGAAACTCGACAAATTGGTGGGGATGTAACGGGAGAGAAATGCTTGGCTTCATGGTTCCCCTTGGGTCGTTTCTCGTGCGAGAAGTGAGCTGTGCAGTAAACTTATTTTTCTATTGGGTTTGAGGAAGACATAACTGAGGCCTGTAAAACTTTTAGGTAGGACTGAAAAAAAAAAAAGGGTGCCTTTTTTTACCCACAATGGTGCGAAAAAGTAAAAGCGATCACTGTAGCGCATTCGCACAATGCAGGCAAAATGTTGTCATTACGTACCTGATGAGGGAGACGCAAAGTGGTTAATGCAAATTGCCATCGTGGTTGGCATCGTGAATGCCACTGACGACTGCCACGAGTGCTCGGGGATCGTCAGTAAAGTAACTGGGCAAGGTGAGACACTGGATGCGCGTGGCAATGTTGCCGTGTAAGCGCCTCTCCTTCGTGCTGTCGTACCTCAGATCCTCACGTCTCCGTGTACGTGTGGCACAGGCAACCTCTTGTTGCTGGTCAGCATGGGCGCAACACTGGTTGCGAGCCGCGGAAGCCAGCTGTTCCCCCGCACTCGCTCTTGGGATGGAGTGTGGCCTTGGCCCAGCGCGCCATCGGGAAGAGTCTGCGGCAGTGGTGATGCAAGCAAAGGCATAGGCTCTCCCACTGTTGTGGAGCAATGAAGGGATGGTGTAATGGTTGACGTTCAGCGATGAGCGGAGAGGGGGACGCATGCAGATAAACGATGCGAAACTCGTTCATCTGCATGCGAGTTTTGGGCGACGAGCTTTGGCAGAACATATATTTCAAGTTGGATTCAAGTAGTAGAGAAGTTATAATGAAATTGAACAGGGTAGAAGTTTCTAAAACACTCCAACATCATACATAGCAACTGGATACCGTCAAGGTGGGTTTCATACAAAGTGAGTAGTGTTTCAAAACACTTATTTTGAAGTTATTGTTAGCAGACGACGGGGAAGGCGCTCTGCTGACGCTTCCTCGTCGTCGCGCCATTATCAGCATGTTGTCGGGTATCTTTTCCCTCTTCGGGTGGCACGGCCAATGGGAACACCCGACTTCTCTCTCTTCGCGCCACGAGGTGAGAGAAGGGTTTTTTCATCTCCGCTGTGACGATAGGCAACAACAAACGCCAACACCGAAATCCCTCCAAAGTGTCGCCTGTAAAGCCATTGCTTTAAAATGACTAAGCAGAGATTGTTTGTAACGCGGAAAGTGCGTGGCTTAACTCACTTTTTTTATGTAAAATCTGTTATATGGCTGGCACCTAACCGTTTCCGGTTCTTACTTGAGTGACTGCACCTGAAAATGTGAGTGCAAGCCAAACGCTGATGCAGCACTTTTCTCCTCACTGATTGGACACATGTGCCAGCTATGCCTCTTGCTGAGTAAATGTGAGTTCAATGTGTCACATTATGCGATGAAACATTGTTGCCAGCGATGCATCCTGCTCTTAGCATGCTCTGAACGAGTGAGCTCTCGAGGCTTTCAGCCTTCCTGCCATGTGCACGCTCTCTTTTCTTTCTTTTTTACAGTCATTGCTATACGGGTGACACTTCGCAGGGATTTTGCTGTCGGCGTTTGTTGTCTGTTGTCACAGTTGAGATGGAAAAACCCTTCTTGTCTCACGTTATGGTGTGAGGACAGAGAAGTCGGGTGTTCCACATAGCTGGCACAAAGCGAAGAGAGGAGAGCCCCAACGGATTTGTTGATAACAACGCGATGACGCGGAAGCGTCATCGCGTTGTCAGCAGAGCATTTTTCCCTGTCATCTGCTAACAATGACTTCAAGACAGTTGTTTTCAAACATTTTTGCGTTATACGAAATCCCACTTTGGCAGTATCCAGTTGGTATGTGTAATGTTGGAAGGTTTTAGAAACTTCCACTGCGTTTGATTTCACTACAACATCTCTACTTTCTGAACACAACTTGAAACATAAAATATGTTTTGCCAAAACACGTCACCTTGCACCTGCCTTTCCCGCAGAGTTTGGCCTCGTTTCTCTGCTTGCCTCCCCCACTCCGCTCATTCCTGAACATCAACGTTACCCTCTCACTTCACCGCTCAACAACCCTGGGAAAACTTGCGCCTTCGCTTGCATCGTTACTGCCGCAGACTCTTCCTACGGGCGCCGCTGCGCTAAGGTTGTACTCTGTACCGGGAGTAAGCACGGAGGGAATGGCTGGCTTCTGCGGTGCGTGCGACCTTGTGTTTAGAAGGGAGATTGACACGCATATTTGGTGACTCGCCTTGCCCAGTTAGTTGTCCGATCACTGAGCACTCGTGGCAGTCGTCAGTGGCATCCACAACGCCAACCTCGTGGCAATGTGCATTAACCACTTTGCACTTCTGTCCTCAGGCATATGACAACACCACTTTGCCTGCATTACGCAAATGTGCTACAGTCATTGCTTCTACTTCGGTGCATTTTTTGGATAGAGCCGTTCACGAGGAGGCCGTGGTGTTCCTGGAGTTATGGTGCTGTAACTGCTGCAGCGCCAAAAACGGTGGCACTATGATCACCTCTAGTTCCACAACTGCATCTTGATCTGTGTTACCACTGCTTTGTTTTCAGTAGAATGAACTTGGTGCATAACATCTTTCGTAAAAGCTCCAAAGTAATTCAATACCACCGTGCGAGTGATGTGGTTAATGGGTTGTTTGGTTCGAGGTATAAATGCCAGGAAGAAGAACGATAAATATAGGTATGCAGACTCCACAAAGTGCTTTGAGATGTCTGTTCACGTACATTTATAATTTCTTCTGTACAATACTGCACACAAGGGGCGACAAAAGCAGGATTAGAAATTATAAACTGACGAGGTAAACATTAAAACAAGTTTTTTGCTGGCCCGAGAATTTCCGTCTCGGTTCATTCTGTATCCCCTCGCATTCTTGTCGGTTTTATTCGGAGACCGGCAAGCTGCGACAGGAGTAGGATATTTATTTCCACCGGGTTCGCGACGGCACATTTTATTTCGGCATTATTTGTCGCAGCAAAATAATTTCGCATGTACAACCTTTCAGGCATTGGAAGCGGAAATCCGAGGCCACGAGGGACGCATCCAGAAGCTCGTCCAAGCAGGGGATGCGCTAATTCAACAGCGGCACAGCCAGAGCCCCGACGTGGAGCAGCGGCTGGAGGCGCTCCACGCCCGCTGGGCCGAGCTGGCTGAGCTAGCCGCAGGAAAGCGAAAGCGCCTCGAAGACGCCTACGAGGCCTTCCAGGTGAGCCTCTCCCCACACCTCGCGACGTCGTGAGGTCACGTGACTCGCGTGCCGATCGAGTGCGTCATTTTTTCCGTGAGACCCGGCCCAATAACGTATTCCCCGAGTAGGGGTGTGTGCATGTCGCGGGCGCACACTCTTACGGGTTGTCACTCCCCCGCTGCAGTACCATGCGGACGCCAACGAGGCGGAGTCGTGGGTGCGGGAAAAGCAGGCCCTGGTGTCGAGCTGCGACTATGGCAAGGACGAACCGAGCGCCCAGGCCCTGCTGCAGCGCCACTCCTGCCTGGAGAGTGAGATGAACGCCTACGGCAACGACATCCGCCGCCTCCGGGACCAGGCCGACCACATGGCCCGCTCGGGGCTGGACTCTCTTGCCATCGTGAGTGGTTCCTTCCTCTCATCTCACTCGGGCGCTGCAGCGGCGTTCTCTGCACCGTCCAATGGAATTCCTCCGGGCTCCGATTTGAGGCGAGGCGAGAGCGAGAGATTTCTTGGCTGGTTGTTGGACCTGGCGTCGCAGCTTTCTGCCGGGTGCACATCGTTAACCGGCGAGACATTTTCTACGCACGTGCGAATCGATGATGAAGCGATATTTTGGCGGCAACGTTTTGCCCGTTCAAGAACGGTGAGAGAGGCATCATGGCTTCTGACGAGCTCGTCCCGAGCGCTCCTTCGTCCAGCGGTCGACGTCTGCTCTTTTACGTCGACGAAACAACTTGAGATTTGCGAAGGAATAGCAGGTTGTCGAATACTTCCTACTAGAATAGCCAACGTTGACAATTTCGTCCCGTGTCCGATCTCGCCTTGCGGACTATCCACTTTTTTCAGTTTTGTTAGCCCTTGGCAGACGACTTGCCATGTTTTCTTATTCATTTTTGCCCGCGAATCACATTCCGCCGCAGACATCTCCCATTCTTCACTCGCTTAAGCCGACGAACCATCTGCAAACGATATCTCGGCTCCATGAACAGAGGCAAATTAGATCTCGCGGTGACTAAAATGAGACCCCAAGGCCGTTTCGCTGGTGAATGCGGCTATCTCTCCCGGCTAGTCATGCAACCGGCTCGGAGGGCAGGAAAAACCCTGCATTCCAGCATTACTCAGCATTTCAGCCGAAAAATTAATGTCGTTAATTTTTCTTCCTCTTCTCTTTTCATGTGCACCTTGCTCCATTTATTGAAACTCACAAAACTATTATTACACCCTTGTAGTACCTCGATGAAGAAATATTTGATGCGAGTGCTGCATCAGCGTTTGGCTCGTGTGCTTTTACCACTTGAACATATCGCGTTTGGTTGAAACAGTTAGGGTTGAGCCAGTTGGATTTTGTCCCCAATAGTTGGCTGCTATTTGCAAGTTCTAGGTGCAACATAATGGTTAGGGTTCGGAGTTTTCGGATCAACCCAAAAAACTCGAAAAGACACTTGCTGGTGAAATTATGCATATTTGATTTTATTAGAAGAACTCATAATTTTAAGGTCAAGATGGCAAAATAAAAACCAAAAAGATGGTGTTTTACGAATAAATTTTGTGAGAGCACAGGGTCAGTGGTTCTGAGGACTGGCCACCTCCATTTTCCTTTTTAATCTTCAAACTACTTTTTAATCTTCAAACTACTTACAAAAGGGTTTGCCGTTTATCTCGTCAAGGTTCGGACAGAACAATGGATCATAGTACTTCTGGGTCACGACAAGAGCCACTGTCCCTGTTTCCAATTTGGAGGAGCATACTATCCTATAGACGCTTTGCAGCAGCTGTGCATGGGCGCCGCCATAACTGACCTTCAGTTTTTGTTTCCTCTTATTGAATTCTCTTCACTTCACCATTACCATTGCAGGCCAGGTTATGGCCATCTTAAATTTTATTACGTCCTTCTACCCAGCATTGGCCTTTCTGGAGGCTCTTCAACACTTGTTTCAGTGGCTCAGTATCTCTATAAGATGAAAGAAGGTCAGCAATGGCGGCTGTAATCTGGCGCGTGTGTAAAGCGTCTATTTCTGCTTCTTGGACGGAGGAGGGGTTGTGTTTTTATAGCAGTGAAAGCTTCAAACTTGTACATTTCGTAGGAGGGGTCAGGGCAGCTGGGGCTTCTCAGCTTCCCACCGACTACGTCGACCAGTATGAAGTTATTTCAAAGTACCATATTTCCTCGAGCAATAGCCACACCGTTTATGAAGAAAACCTGAGGGTCTGCTTTTTCACGGAGCATGCAGATCACCAATCGCCACGATGGAAAGCACGATGCCAGTGATTTATGGGATAGAGATAACATCTTCACGCGAAGATACCATCTGTGAAAATTGCATTTACGAAGAATCCTGTTTTTGACTTAGTTATTCGCTATCTTATTTATGCGCAACGCAACGATTAACTGTATATATGTTCTGCAGGAAAGTAGACGCAAGGGCCTTCTTCATAAATAGTGCAGCTACTACTCAAATAAATATGGTATTGACATTAATTGAAGCAATACTTTTTTGCGAGAATTGTTGCGGGACTGTTAGTATTACGAGTGGTAGGGCACCAATGCCAAATGCAGCCGCGAAAGTATTATTCAATACAGGTGATTTTAAAGAATTGAGGGTAACGTTTGTGTGTGGATATCCTTTATTTTAATTTTAATGCGATAGCATTACTCGGCTACTACTCCAGATTCCTGGCCGTGTTTTCAGGTTCCCTGCTAAATTTAGCGAAAAACTTGCGTCACATAACCTATGCACCAATTCAGTTTTCCCGCTAAATTTGGCAGGAAAATTCATGTCGCACTACCTCACGTCACAGAACCTACAGACATATTCAGGTTCCCTGCTAAATTTAGTGGAAAATAGAAGTCGCGTGATCTATGCGCCAATTCAGTTCCCCTCCAACCTGCCCATGTGTGCAACGATAAGCACTGTCGTATTCATAGATATTCACCCCTGTGGTTTCTACATTTTTTAATTTTTTTATTTAAAATTTGTAAATACACCGAAATCAAACTTGAAAAAATTGGGAATAAAGAAATTAAAAAAAAAAACTCCAATGAACCTTGAATTTTCAACCAGAAATGCACTCTGAAAATATGAAACCCTAATTATGGTCAAACATTGTTTTCCTCGTGTCATAAAAATGAGTTACGTTAAGGTTGTCGCTGTATTGAGTATCTGAATGACACCGAGATGTGACAGTTTGTTTGATAAGGGAAATTTAATTTACGGTTCTCTCCAGCATTGATGTGGTTTGGGTTTTGCTTTTCCTCAGTACCTGGATGCTGTGAAGGAAGATGCGGAGGAGTGGGTGGAGGAGATGGTTCCTTCGGAGGAGTGGGTGGAGGAGGTTGTGGAGAAGGAGGCACTCCAGACGCTGGTGGAGGAGAAGCAGGTGCCCCAGGTGCGGGCGCTCTACCCCTTCAGCGGCCAGAACATGCAGGTGCACAAGGGAGAGGTACGTCAGTCTACGCTTCTTCGTCTCAACGACCCTCGCCGGGAAGCATAAAACCGAAATGTTTCCACTTAAATGGAAAGTACAATAATCTCTCGTTATAACAAAGTCAACAGGACGGCATAAATTCGATAAAAGCGGTAATTCGATAAAAACGCGAGAGCTATAAAAAGATTAACAGTAACCTTGAAAGTACACAGGAACAGTGTGGACGACTTTTACAAATATATATTCAATGAAACAAACCTTGCTGATTATCCAGGCTTACTGAGACATGAAAAAAGAAGGGAAATCAGTTTGCCGGGCCTTTTGGCCAGGCATTAAAAAAAGCCTCTTCCAACTGCCTCAAGCACCTCATGAGGTTGTCATCGCCACTGCCGCACTCCACCTTGTTGCGAAGAAGACGAAGCATGTTTTGTGTATCTCCAGTCGTGGATACCTCTCGGGGTTCCTCATCTGACGGCTCTTCGTCTTTGCCCTGGCCACACACGAGGTCCACGATCTCATCATCCGTGACAGGAGCGACAACCGAGATGTCCGCATCCACAAGCGCAAGCGAGTCAAAGTCGTCTTTGGGAATTGCACCGACAATCTCGTGCACGGTTCTGTAAAGGGCCGCCGGCACATTAAGCACGCACGCGCGGGATAAGCCGTCGACAGCGTCGATGCCGGGATGTTGAATTCTTTTGCAATTTCCAACTTCTTCGGTCGACCACCTCAGTTCTCGGATCAGCTTGACTTTCTGTTTCAGGGTCAAACACTTCCGCGCAGGCTTTGGCGGCGCCATCAGCGGTGAAGCAGGTTGCACGCAGCAACTGTACACGCGGCAGACGGGCTGTGCTGCCTTCGCAACGGAGAACACGATGCCAAAGACGCTGCCTCAACGCGCACGCGATCCGTAAATGCAGCGTCGACTCAAGCTGGCAAACACGTGCATCGCGTGCGTCGCCGCGTCGTGCGACCAAGTCGACCAAGTTAACCACAGTACAGCCAAAGCTATAGAGGAGAGGGTGTATCCCGCCCTCGCCCTCGTACGCTCTCTCCCCTGTAGCTTTGACTGCACTAAACGGTTTTAGTGAGACGGAGTTTTTCTTTTTTATTTTTATACATACAGTAGACTCTCATTAATTCAAACTCCAGAAAGTCACAGATTTTAGTTTGAATTATCAGAAGTTTGAATTATCAGAAGTTTGAATTATCAGAAATTCGTCTAAATATGATACTAGACAACATTATGATTTGTTACATGGATAGCTACACATACAATGATGATTTTTGCCAGTTTCCTCTACATAGGCCTAATAATAAGCAAGTACAGGCATAACACATTGTGAAAGTGTTAAGTTTATTCATCAGGCAAAAACATTGTCGATTGTGGACTGTTTAGTCTGCCCACGAGATTTCAAAACAAAATTTTCAATACCAGCCAACGCAAGTAGCTCTTTACGGGACTCTTCCTTTGCAGACAGAAACTTCCGGAGCTGAGCGATGTGCTCAAAGGCCTCTGCAGCTGCGACAGTTTGTACTGGGTCACCCCTTTCTTTATGGTCATCTTCACTCTCACTGCTGCACTGTGCTGGAATTACTTCATGTACTATGTCCTCTAATGAGTCATCACGACAAACACACATCGTCGTCAAGACTAGCATATTCCGCCAACTCGGCGTTCACATTATGTGCTTCAAGGCCAGAAAGCAGGATGCCAGTGAGCTGTTCCTCATCCTCGATGTCGTCTTGGTCATCATTGCTAGGTGCAGTCTCGGCGCAGTCAGTAGTAAAAGCAGCATGTCGAAAGCAGTTTTTTATAGTGTTTGCAGTCACTCAGTCCCATGTATCCGAGAGCATGCCAATGGCAGTAAGAAGTGTGATGGTGTATGGCTTGTCATTGTCCATGCACAGCAACATTCTCTGTAGAAACTGCCTCCTGTTGTACACTTTCAAGTTTTTTATCACCCCTTGGTCCAGGGGCTGAAGAGCAGCTGTGGTGTTGGGAGGCAGAAACTCTAACTGGATTGCCTCCAGTTCCTCAACATGTCCATGAGCTGGGCAGTTATCCACCACAAACAGGACCTTCCTCTTGGCACGCTTAAATTCACCATCAAGCTTGCGCAGCCATTTCTCGAACAGAGCTTCGATCATCCAGGCGCACGTGTTCAAAGCACACATGACTGGAAGCGTTTGGATGCCTTTAAAACATGTCGGACGCTTTGCCTTGCCAATTACGAAAAGTTCAGGCTTGTGACTTCCGTCCATGTTTGCGCATACCATGACGGTCACCCTCTCTTTGCTCAGCTTGCCTCCGGTGCAGCGTTCACCACGACGACACAAAGTCTGGTTAGGCAAACACTTATAAAAAAGGCCCATCTCGTCCGCGTTATAGATGTCACCTGGGGCGTGCTCCCGCAGCAGACACTGCAATCTTGTTTGCTGCCAGCTGCTGACAACGCCTAGATCCACCGCTGCCACTTCACCGCTGACAGTCTTAAATGCCAAACCATGCCGTTCTTTAAACCGCGAGATCCAGCCATCACTGCACTTGAAGCTTTCTAAATTCATCCGTGAGGCCAGTTCATCAGCCTTTTCCCGCAAGATCGGCCCACTCACAGGAAGGTTGGAGCTCCGTGTTCACTTTAGCCACAAGAGAAGTGCGTCTTCGAGCTCCGGGTGCGCCGCTTCTCTAAGCCTTTTTCGGTCTGGTGCAAATTTGCTTGCCTTCTCCCGAAGCTTGTTCTTGGCTTTCACAATCGTTGTTAGCGTGCTTTTGGTGATGCTATATTTGAACGCCACCTCGGTTTTCTTCACGCCTGACTCAACTTCTTCAATGACAGCTAGTTTCTCCTTGACCGAAAGCGCTTTATACCTTCCACGTATGCCATGTCGATGATGAGGAGCGAAAGCAAAGTGCGTTGCCACCTAGGCCTAGCACACACGACATCGAAGTATCGAAGACAATGGTGGACTAGATTGGATTCGATAATCTAGCGGCTGCGGCTACAGCTTGTAACATTGCCAGACAAGAACCGAAAATGGCTCCATTTAGACCGTAGAAACGTCGTACAGGAAAACGAAAAGTATGAATTAAGCAAAAACGCCGCTCGAATTAAGCGGCTTAAAATACATTAAAAACATAGCGGGACAATGAATAATGAATAGTATGAATAATCCGAGTTTGAATTATCGCGAGCCTACTGTAACTTGGGATGGTGCTTCCAAAGAGGTGGGTGCCGGTAGGGGATGTGCTTCCCTGACTTGATTCCGACGAAAGCCGCGCCGCGAGCACCACGGGCACTGTGTGAAGTGCCGGAACTGTCGCTCAACATGGTGATGCTGCCGCATCCCTCTGCGCGCACAGAGCTCCCGAAGTGGCGATCTCCCGCCTTCTTTGCTCCCTTGACTTGACAAGTTGGAGTCGAGGGGCAGGTGCGTCGGGGCTCATAAGAGGTAGGCGCGACAGACACTCTGCGCTCCTTGCGCATTTATAGCAGCGAAAGACGATATACCTTTCGCAGCTAATGGCTTTTGCGCACACCTTGGAAGGGTTGCGCTAACTTACACACTGTACTTACGGCGGATCGTCCTTTGTATGAAGCATGTCCAGCCGTTAATACACTTCGAATAATCCGGTCCAAAATGCATGCATTGGGATCGGGACCGCAACAAACTTAGAAAAATGCGTTAATTTGCGAGGATCGTCCTGCGTAATAAGCACCTCCAGCCTTCGGTACACTTTGAATAATCCAGTTCAAAATGCATGCGTTGCAATTGGGACCGCGTCAAACTTCAAAAAATGCGATAATTCGTAAAAAGCGATTTCGTTACAACGAGGAATTACTGTATGTGGCAAAGCTACCCTCCGTCAATGAGCATTTGCCTCCCGCCCCAACGTAAGGTCGGGGCAAAAACAACCGATGACAGGGCGCGGTAGGTAGCCTTGGCTTTTGCCGGGGCTATTGCGTGGATGGCGTTGCGACATCGTGTCTGCGTAGCTGCTCCGGTTGTTCGACCCTCATTGTCTTTCTGACGTAACCTTTCCTGGCGATTGTTTTCGTCCTACAGGGAGGATGTAGTTCGGTCCACATATTCTTAACTACGGTGTTATGGCAAACAGCTAACGGATTTATCCCCATAATTAATGCACGCGTGTAATTCGTGCGGTTTGCAGTCACGGATGATGGCTTTTCTTTTTCTCCTCGCATAATTGCCATAAGGAAATATCTCACGCGAGTTTTCTCAACTTGTTTTTATTGTTACCAATGTGCCCAATTGAAGCAGGCACTTTGTCTTTCTTTATGAGCTACTGTTCTGATTTGGTTGGTGCAAAATATTTATCCCGGGCGTATAGTTTTTTTTTTTTAAATGTAAACATTTTGGAAGAATCAACGAGGTAACCTTTTCTTATATTTTTTTCGTGTACTCCTGAATTCGTCTTTGAATGGTACGAATGATGTGAACATGGTCATTTATCAGTATGGGTTATTTCTGTGCCTGTGTCAGCTAGTTTGTAGCTGGCATAAAGCCTTCTTGCCTTTCCGACTGATTGTTTTTATAGTGCTTAAACTCAGCCTTAGCTGCATAGAAATGTGGACAGACAGTCTACAAAAGACGACACCACTCCTAAACTAATTTTCTTTGTTTTTCATTCTTTTTTCATTATTGGTTGCATACTATGAATCGAAATTAGCATGGCGTGCTACCTCATGGTATTGGATGCTGAAGATAATTGTTTTACTTACACAGCCCAAGTTTTGAGAACACTCTTCAAAACTAAAAATTTTGGTTGAATACTGTAAATCATTATCAGTATATATGGCGCCACATTGGATGCAGAAGGAAACTGTTTTACTGACACACCTTGGATATTGAGCACATTTTCAAAACAAAATTTTTTGGTTAAATGATAGGAACCAAAATTGGCCTGGCATGGCATTGGATACTAAAGGAACCTTGAAGTTGTTTTACTGACGCATAGCTGAATGTGCAGCATCGAAAGTCCACGCATCCTC